CCCCTCCGGTCTATCTCTGCCTCTCATCTGTCTTCCAACACCAGCGCTCTCTTTTCACATGTCACTTCATTCCTCTCCATCCTCTACAGCCTTTGACACTTACTTTCAGAGCCATCTGATATCCCCAGCTTTATGGAGTGCACTGGATAGTTAGAAGCTTAGAATAACCATTCCTTACATTGACATTGAAACTTTCAATCAACAATAAAAAATTTATTTTATTGCTGTTGTATTTATTCTGTTAAAAACAGGGTTTTCAGGATGGTTGAGGATACAAATAAGACTACACTTATATAATATTATACTATATGTTGAATTGTAGTGGTGGCTGCATAGGATCCTGTGTAATATGTGTGATCCAAACATTTCTACCAACTTCTATATCATTGACATAACCAAAAGTAAAAATGTATTGACAAAAAGGTAATTGTCCTCATTTCCAATTGGATAATTGTTGGTACTTTGCCTTACAAATCAACATTTTCACTGCAGACAACAAAACAGTTTAACTCTCCGCTAGCTGCACACAAAGGGAAGCCCACATGGGTATTAACAGGGCGGTCCAGCAGCAATCTAACGACAACATACATTTATATTATAAATATGTTGTATTATATATATTTTCTCTTTTTTAAGGCTGATGGCATCAAAATGAATGTCGATGGAATTTCAAAGTTTCCTTTGTAAACGTCATTACAGTTTGAATGTCAGAACAATTACATTTGGTTGGTATTTTGAACTAATTTCCTCATGCTGTCACCATTGTGATCATCCACTCATAATCATCTTAGGTATTGAAGGATATGATTAGTGTAAATACCTGACGTTTTGCATTTGACCTCATTTACAATATCAACAACTGAGGGTACATATTTTATTTAATAGTCAGATTAAAATGCTTGGGAGGATCACAAACATCTGGCAGACACAACATTTTGAGGAAAAGCCTTTTTTTTTGTGGGGGGAAAACAAGCCGTCGTGACCCAAAACACTTGAGCAAATTGCAGTTTTTAAAAACTAACAAGCATCTTCTTCCCCTTTGTGGGTACCCACTTTAAATCATCAAACCCAATCATAGAGTTTTTCAGACAGATAAAACTGAGCTAACTTTTCTTCCCATCGCTGCGCAGAGACAACATCGTGTGGAGGTGTCTGGCAGGCTATCAGCGTGTGCAGTCTCCTGGCCCACTCCACTGAACAGATCGGCATTCTGCTCAAAGGAGGCCTGAAACATCAAAGCCTCTTTGAAGCACCACTTGATGCTGCACAATGGGACAAGCGAAGAAAAAAACAATGCAATACAACAATGCTCTGAACTACTGTACCCAGAATGCACCACAGATCCAAAAATAAAAGTGGGACACATCAATGCCATGAAGAATCACTACCTCACGGTGTGCGTTAACAAAAGAAGAACAAAGCTTATTCTTCTACTTCTCAAGAAAATCTGATGTTTTTGTATTTCCGCTCTGAGGACTTTGGCATAATATCTGTAAACACTGGAGACAGATGACTGTGACTGTCAAAGCATTATGTTTAAATTAAATTTGACAGGCTAAATAAAGAGCTGCGGGAATCTGTAGCATATTATCCAGAATGTGACATGTAATTACTGTCAAAGAGTTTCTGACAGCAGCTGAGAAAGATTTGACTTACATCTGCTAATCAATAAGCATTCTTTTAAATGTTTTGGATTGAGCAAAACAGGGCAAGGCTTTTTTTATGCTCGAGTAAAATGTATATTCTAAAGACATAAAAACAAATAAATAAACATATACATATATTTAGTCATGCAGACATATCAGGAGTTGACACAACCTTCACTCCTAAAGGACTCATTATCTGTGTTCCGCTTGACCAAACATAATTAAACCTACATATGCATGTATAATGATGAGACATTGCATGACTGCTGATGATGTCTGCCATCCCCCTAACACCACTAATAACACATGATGCTCAGAGCAACAGCCTGACACAACTCAGAACGCTCTTCTCCTTCTTTGACCCATCCTGCCATAACGCATGACTCATACATGTACACATAATGTCTCTGTTGCCTACATCAACCCCTCAAAGCCTAATCCAGTCAAATGTAACCACAAAACACAGGGTAATCTCTACTCTTGTCAGATATGACTATGCCATTGATGCCTGCTGGGTGTCCTGCTGTTGACTTGAACGGTTTTGCTCAGATGGCCATTGGTCGGACCGTACTCTCTGCGGCTCAGTTCATAAACAATGCCTCATGTTATAAAAAAGCAAACACTGATTGACCTTGGAATTAAAATGCATAGTTAGGAGACAGAAAAATAACTCCTGTGCAGCTCTGACCTGCCACCGCTGCTGTCGTGTGAAGAGGAGCTGAATCAGGAATATGAAAACCAAACATTAGGTGAAGAAACTTTGAAGAAACTTTGCAGCCTCTCCATAAATCACACCGAGACAGTGAAAATATATTCAGTAGCATCTTCAGTTTAAACTGCTTATCCTCCCACTACTGTGGCTATAGCAATGGGAACGGTTTTGTTGCAACACAGAATCATCACAAACTCTACCTGATATAATGTGAGCCTCCACAAGTATCAATCACAAGTTCGACAACAACAATAACAACAACAACAACAACCCATCTGTCTGTCTCAAAGTCTCTTTCCCAAAAATGCAATACTCTCCACTGAAGCTTTCATGTAGAAACTTATTCTGAATATCATAGCAATCAAACCAGGTTCCTGAGCAATTACTTCTGATCGCAGCCCACTTGGCTTGGACGCTGTTTATCTGTGTTATGGGAATTCATCGTGCAAAACTCAGACAGCTGAGAGGGAGGTTATTTCTTGCCATGCGCCTTTGCTAGCATACATGCCTCCCCAAAGACGCCTCGACGATGGCTCAATGCTCATTTTAATTATCACATAAGCCTGATGATGTTAATTAAAAAGCAGACGGAAAAAGATCACACAGAGGGGAGAGCTGTGTACCCGAACGCACCGATAGATGCAGCGGCAGCTCTTGAAACGTATTCAGATGAGATTTCCTAGCCCTCTTGAAACGTATGCATTACAAGTGGGCGCATCAAGCCATGAGTATCAAACTGATTTTTGATGTTAGTTATTTGTGGTGGAAAATGCAGATTTCCTCAAATCTAAGAGATCTGTTGAAGCAGAGAAACTTCTATAAGATGTGTGCTCTAACAATATCTGCGGTCCCCTTCTGATATGTAGTGAAAAATGTAAATGCAGTCTATCTGTGCTACTTACTTCATGGGCTTGAATAGCGCTTGTCCATAATTCTGGAAAGTCATGATCAACTTCAGCTGGGTGCCTCCCGATTTCATGGCTGAGAGGAAAAACAATCGAAATGTTTGATGAGTATTTCAGGCATAAACAAACACACATGCAGGCATATAAACATTAGCACGCAGAAATATGCCCACACAATTGCACAGCTGTTTTGTAGCTTGCCAATTGGAGGACACAATGGCTGCACAATCACATCTGCTGACCAATTTGCCAGGCACTGTACAATCAAAGTGAAATTGTGGCAGATAGGAGCTGGGTGTGACTGAGAGACAGAGTGGTGTGAAAAGCATCTGCTGACAACTAGTCGGCTAGTTCTGGGTTTGATGGAGGGATGCAACTGTAAATGGACAATTTGTCAGAGTGTGACAGAGTGACTGTGTCTTGATAACAACATGTGCAGCTTTCTTGCCAAATACATCCACAGATTTAGCAGAGCAGCTTCAAGTGGCAGTTGTAGAGTAGGTTTCATTTTGCAAAACATTTTCTGTCAAAAGTCCTGGAACTCGCAACCTGGTCACTTTGTATTGCACACTTTTAAAAAGAGCCACCACATCCATGTTAATTCACAAAGATACATTTGCTCATCTCTCATTTTTTATATTTCGTGTGCTTCATTGTATCTCCGGCATCTTACTAGGATTGGGTATTGAAAACAAAGAGCCACCATAAATGCTATGACACTTGCATTGGAAATCTGTTTCTATGTCCACATAGAGTCCACTGATAAATCCAACTTGCCTTTTATTTTAATGCAATAACATTTTGAGAATCCTATTGCATCGAAACTCGGAGGACTCTTCATTTCCTGAATCAAATAACAATGAAATGTACAAGTGCACGTAACAGACCTGATTCTGAGCAGATGTTTCTCTGTACACTTTGTCAGGATTTGCTTGTGCACATTAGACTGCTTCTCCTCTGACTCCCACTAGGCTGAGCTCCTTGGCCCCCGGGTGAGGAGCGGGGGCACATGTCTCTGACGATCAGTCATGTCCGCGGTGTCTCCCAGAGGCTGACGGAGACTCACTGTGAGCTTCCTGTCTGCCTCCGACTCAAACAAAGGGAGCGCCAGGCCTGTCCTAATGCCTTGTGTTTCTTTCATAATGGACAGGCTTTCGGGGGATTTGCCCATTTATTACAGAGCATTAACTTGAGCATATTACACAATACAGCGCTTCTGCCTAACCCCAAAATCAACATAAGCCCGCTGTAGTGGACCCACTTATTGAATGGCTTGCTGGCTGTACTTCACCCATTACACAGAACTGTCTTTTGTGTTTATAGGCTTCTTGGCGTTTCCCTCAGATGTCCCTTGTTTGTATATGTCATTATTTCATTCTCTTTCCTTCCGTTATGCTCCGCCTGTCTCGCTTTGCTTCACTCACCGCTGGCAAGCCTCCCCATTTACCGTGACTCATTTTCAAAAAGCTTTAGTATGATATATCCACTGTTGCACAAAGTTCCATCTACATTACCTTTGGTCAGTGCCTCTTCTTCAGCACAGAGGATGGATATTGAGTGAAATTGAAAGCTAAATAATTTGCTGACGGCATTAGGACTACACATGTTCTAGATTTACTGAAGCCAGGTCAAAGGAAAAGTGCCCTATACATTAATCGTTAAACTTCGTACATCAATCCCTGAACCTTTGAGGGATTGCAGACGACCCTACAATGTTCTAATGCTGTGACCTTGAACCTATAAGCCACAATGCGTGAGAAGCTGACCTCAATACTCTGCTCTGTGCTGGACGTTTACAAAATGTTTATAATTGCAAACTACTAAAGGTAATCCCCTGTGAAAAAGCGGAAAAGCTCTGCTGATTGTTTCTCTGCACTGTCATGCAATCAAATAGGACTTGTACAACAGTAAACTTCAACTAGACATTCTTATGATTCCCCTAAAGGCATCTGTCTCAGTGTCCGTGCATAAATGTCTTAGATCCATCTCTTCAGCCGTTTCTCCAAGCGTCCACAAATGAAAGGATGTCTTTCCTAAACCTTCATGTTCTCTGTTCTTTAAGAGAGCTCCAGGCCTCGCCCACTACCATCAGATTTCCCCTGAATGCTGTGCAGTGATGATAAATCCCCTCCGCTCTCACCTGTGCCACCTCACGGCACTGTGCGTATGATTTATGAGTCAAGCTGAGGACTGAACAAAAGGCCGCAGAGAGACAAACACAGAGGGGGAAGAAGTGAAAATGCTGAGCAGGGAAACTTTCTAATGCTGTCTCTGTTGTGTAATTGTAGTGGGACAGGTATGTGGTAAGTGTGGGCACCAATTATCGGGCACAAAGCTTTGACGCATGCTACCAAACACAAAAGCACTGCATTTTTCTTTTCAGAAGACAGACGGTGTAATATACAGTAGGTGTGTCAGGGCGCTCATTGATGGTTTATAAATTACTAACAGAGAGCACAAAAAGCAAACACTACTAAGTGTACGCTGAGATGTGTAGCATGAATGATGAAACTTTGCAAGTTGCCTGTGAGGGAATCATAAAAATGAGACAGAGGAGGCAGCCTCAATAAGAAATACAATGACACTGATGCACAAAGGAATGGAGATAACAGCATGCGCCACTGGAGGATATGTTGGTATTCATGTCGTTTGTATGAAGCCACTTTAGCAATCTTCACACTCAGACAACATCTCTTTTTTACAGAGCATAAATAATGTCAGTATAATAAATTATAGTATGATAAATTATAGATATATGATACATTGATCGTGTGGTATTTATAACTGGATGGCCTAGCTACCTGTCAGCATTCCATCTGTGCACAAACTTATCTTGTGCCCTCATTGGTCATGTGCGCGGATGGCCTACCTGCCTGTCAGCGTTCCAGGCCGGGCCGGCTAAAATGATTGGTCGTGCTTTTTACAGTACTACAGCTTCCACAGATGAAATTTTGTTATGGATTTTTTGTCAAAGCACTTCAGATATTCATTGCTATCGGGATGATAAGAGCATTCCATGGAATATAACAACGAGTGTATCTCGAGCCGGTTTCTCAAACGTATACCCCACCTTTAAGCAGCAGTAACACACATCTAAACAAACATGTTGACGGGGGCAAAAATGCTCTCACACAGCGACACACACACATTATATAATAAAGAAGGGTTGTTAGAATCTATAGTAAGCTCTCAATAGAAGAGGCAGCTGATCACTGTTTTATAAACTTGCGTGCATAAGCAGAAATACAGATAAGGGGCAAGATTTGTGTGATTGTGACCTCCTTCTCACACACGTGCGCACTTTACACACAGGAAGTCAGGTGCACTCAGTCCACTCTAAGGTTTCATTTTTTATTTAAAAAATAAAATGTTGGTGATTATGTGGGGAGGGTTGAGTTAATGGTTCACTTTTAAGAAAAGGAGTTTAGAGCATGCGTGTGGAGTTTCAAGGGGGACTATCGATATGTATGTTTCTATGTATTTTGTTTGTTTTTTCCATCAAGACTTATAAATAAGTGTCTAATGGTTTTAGGTGCTAACCTCTGGGATTTTTGTGTAGTGATACTGTTTTTGCATTTAAATTACTGATGATAATCAAATCAACCAGCTTGGGGTTTGATGGCTGATACTGCTCCTAAAACTTATTACATGTTTATTTTTGTAATATTCATTGCTTTTACCCAACACATATGGCCATGGTGGCAAAGCCTCTGAGGTTGCATTACATCACAGGATAGTCAAAATATTGACCAAGACTTCACTGAAATTATACACACATCCAAACACACACACCTTGGTAACATAGCTCTCCCTGACTGACTCACCGACGCTGGTGATCCTCTGTGAGGCGAGGTCCTTCAGCAGGGCGTCCAGCACAACACTGTGTCTGGAGTACATCTCGTAGCGGTTGATGCCGATGTGGAAACGTAACCAGTTGGGGTAAGATTCTGCCATCACCTCTCCTGTCGGAGAGAACTCCTCCTCCTCCTCGTTCCCCTCCTCATTGTGCCTGAAAAACAGGGAGTGGAGAGGAGGGTTTACCAAGAAGTTGTGGTGCAAGCAGATTCCCATTCAGATTATCATAAATCGATGTTATTGATGGATGCAGTATTTGTTGCAGTCTGTTGATACAGCCAAACTGTAAAAGAGAAATTAGTGGTGGAGGAATTGGCACTGAGCATTTCGTCTATAATTAACACATGGATTTGTAACTATTTTAAGATGAAAAAAAAAGACAGTTTTGTTGACTGATATTTAAACAAAAACCAAGCAGGATGATTACTCATAAGTTGTGTGCGCAATAAGGTAAAATGGCATGAGAATATGAGACAGGGGTGCATGCAGCAGATGCATGAGTGGACATTACTGTACATTGACGGCAGATAAAACTGACAGGGTGTATAGAGGAACTGATTGATTTGAATATATTTAAACAGGCAGACAGACAGACAGACAGACAGACAGACAAACAGACGGATATATGCACTGGCAGATGTCTCATGATAGGTATGCCTGCATGGACATTATGCAAAAGTATGCAAATTGGACAAACATCATAAAGCAAGAAAGCTATTTCAAAACAACTACTTCATTGTAAATATCAGATAACTATGATGCAAGCATGTAGCCTATATCACCTGATTTTGGTCCCTATACTTTCATCTGATCAACCTTCCCATTAACAGTGAGAAATGGCAAAGCAGTCTGCACTGTCCCACTTGTAACCCTTTAAGTGTAACAGATGCCCATCAGCTTACCATCCTCCGTTCCCTGTTGCTTTGGGGTAAAGCCTGATGTCAGTGTTGAGGTTGAACAAAGTGTCATCGTTCGTGAAGGATGGAAGGTCAACCTTGTATAAAGGATGTTCAAAGAGAGCGGTCAGTCGGGAGACACCGTGGGCAGGGACGGTTCGACCCCAGCTGGCGTCTCCGATGAGCGGCTTGTGGTCCTCCACCTTCCCTCCTGACGGTCTGATCCGCCGGAAGGACTCGGCTCTGTCACCGGCAGCTGCTGTGATCTTTTCCAGGGAATGCGACGTGAGGTTGGAGCTTGGCTCGTTGCTGAAATCTTGCAGGATTCTCAGCGTGTGTTTGTTAGGCCAGCCCGCTTCCGCCGCCGACCTGGCGCGCTGCTTCCCCCAGCCCTGCGCCTCCCCGCCCGGGTGCTGAGCGCACTGACAGCCGCTGTCCCCGCTGTCCGCTCCTGCCGCCCGCTTCTCTAGTTTCGGTAACAAGTCTATCATGATGTGCATTGTGCACGCGACCAGAAACACCATGAGTATCAACACTCGGAATTTTCGAAACAAAATCATCTTAAAATGTATTTTCCTTACGCAGAGAAAGCTTTAAGAGCAGCGCACCTTACAGTCACCGACATTGACGTCCAACACTGTTATGCGATGACAAAGCAGCAATGTTGGCTTCCAGTTGTACTGTAATCATTGCACACACAATGCATGTCAGCGTATCAACTCCATGATGTGCTCAGTCTTTATTTTTTACAATAGTCCAAATTCTTCATTCCCAGTCAGACAGGTGGACTGACCCATTGTGGGCTGTGGACTCTTCACTGGCAGCAGCTCAAGAAGTGCGTCTCATTCATTGCCTTGTTGAGCAGGATACAGTGTGAGGAGGACGGAACCCTAAATAAATCGTTAAGAAAATGAACCAGAAAGGAGGAGGAAGGAGTGGGTTCCAGTTAAAAACACCGATGTTCTTCCTTAAATCTGCTTCCTTCTATCGTTGCCAGCACGGAGTGAGATGTCAAATGTGTCATAACTGGGGGGAAAGTAACAGGAGGGATTGACATAGTCCGCAGAAACACAGCCTTCCTTGTATTTAGGATGATTAAAAAAAAAGTGAAATTCCATAAAGATAGTTGATCCGCTGAGATGCTTGGATGCTGTCCCGCTCTGATGTCTCGTTGAAGTCAAATCAGAGACTGGCTGGCAGGTGCAGGGATCCTGCTTGTCATATGCCCACTCCCTCCTTTACAGCGCCTTGTCTTCCTTCAAAGTGTTCATCCAGGGTGTGTGTGTTAAATATTATGATCGGAGCCCTCTGAGCCTCGGTAACGTCACAAGGAAGAGGCTGGCTGCGTCCTGCTGAAGCGCTAGTGACATGAGAGGCGAGCTTCAGGGCTGAGGACTGAAACCCTGGGAGGTTGCAATCCCCCTGCCCGCAGCCAGAGGGCGTTGGCACAGCCCGGAACACACCGCTGGATGTGTGATGTATGATCTGAAGGACAATGCGAGTGCATACGGTGAAGACCCACTGTACGCCCTTATTCAGAGTGCACAATGAGCCGCTAGTAGTTTTAGAAGTGGACATAGGGGGGCCTGAGGATGAGCCAAGGTAAATCAGTGCTCGCTAAATCAGGAATAATTGGAATTCAATGTTACAGCCATAAGAGGTTGACACAAGAATAGATGATTGATACAAACTGGCTCATTGCACTAAAGTTGGTTTAAACATGCTAAACACAACACACACAGTGCACTGGTCAAACATAAAAATATAAATGATTACTATTTTAAGCTCCCAAGAGAACAGGCAGCTGATTTATAAACTCGCACATAAGCAGAAATGCAGAGAAAGTGCCATGCGTTTGGTTGTGGCCTCCTTTTAAAACGCATGTACACAGGCACTGTGCACAAAGTAACCTAGATATTGGGATTTATTGTACACTTAGATAAGTGTACAATAAATAACAAATAGCCTTGCTTTTTGTTTGCCTAAATGCATTTAATTTACAATGATTTGTATTGCAGACAGGGCCGTCCCTGGCCAACTTGGGGCCCCAAGCGACATTGTGAGATGAGGCCCCCCCTCAAAGTACTTTGCAAATATAATTCCTGTTTATTATTATTATTATTATTATTATCAACACAGTTACTTTGTTATACAGTGAGGTAAATGGTAAATGTGCATGTATGTCGTTCAGTATGCGTTTACAGGTGAATACGTCTGCATTTCCTGCCAAATACTAGCCTCGAAAAGATTAAAATAGAATGAATGCAAATAAACTACTTCTACTACTACTACTAATAATAATAATAATCAATTCAATAATATAAATACTATATTATTTTATTATAATATAGTTGTAATAGTCAAGACAAAACATGCGTATTACTTGCTCAAAAACTGATATTTCTTAAATCTGTATTTAAGCAATGTATCAACAACTACACATATTTCTATCAGTATTTCTCTGTGTTGTGGTCAGTGTTGGGCAAGTTACTTTAAAAAAGTAACTAGTAATAGTTATAGTTACTGCTCTCAAAAAAGTAACTAGTTACTTTATGAGTTACTAAATTATAAAAGTAACTAGTAACAAGTTACTTTACTTTAAAAATAATAACAATAAAAATACAAATGTTTGTGTTGTTCTGTGGCACAGTAAGACAATGCTTTCTGTCCTGCGCACAGTTTACATTTGACCGTAATATTTTTTGCGTCCTTTATCCCCACAAATTGAAAATAGTGGTTATATCTCCAAGTTGTAAATGCGCTGCTGCTCTCGCTGATACTTGCATCTACCATTGTGTGTGTGTGTGCTGGTGGTGAGCGTTGCCGTGTGTGTGTGTGTGTTAGCATTAGCAAGTGATCGTGTGTGTGTATTTTCCCCATAAGGCAAGACCCGCCCAACTCTGTCTCTGATTGGCTTACCCTGAAATGTTACCCCGCGTTAACCAATTATCCCTCCTCTCTGGTTACTTTCACTTTTCCATGGTGCTATGAGAGGACATCGCTGTATTCGCCTGTAATTTACATCCGCAGGGAGATTCGGTTCAGTTCCATCACATAATGTAACGCACCCATTTAAATCACAGTAACTATAACGGCGTTACTTAATGGGAATAGGTAACTAGTAACGCTATTAGTTACCGCAAAAGTAGTTGCGTTACTTTGTAACGCGTTAGTCCCAACACTGGTTGTGGTTGACATGATGATGACTGTTAGGAGTTAAGGAGAGAGGCTGAGCATCACCATGAAATGTGCAAATTGACATAAAAATGAATAAAAAGTGAAAAAATGCTCCATGTTTTTTAGGCTGTGGGGTGCGCGGAGAACTGCGCTGAGAACTGCGCACAAGCCGAGCTCATAAGCCGAGGCCCCGTGCGCGAGGCCACCTGCGCAATGTGAGGCCCCATGCAGCCTGCATGATCGGCCTGTAGGTAGGGATGGCCCTGATTGCAGAGTAAGGCTTTTAAATCATAGTCAAGAAGCCAATAAATCAGATCAGATATGTTAGACATTTTTGATGGATAAAAACATTTAAAAATAAATACTACATTGATCTAATTGTCTGTTGATCTTTGTAACAGATAAATATGTCTCTATTAAAACTAATAAAATATTCAAAATTGTCTACTTCATAAAAGAAACAGCAATGCATATAAAAAACATTTGGGCTGTCACAACGTCAGGTTTTCACTATACTATAATCCTAGCCAATAGAATTCACAATAACAATATGATCGCGATGTATATAGAACATATTAAGAAAAACAATAATAATGGCCTCAGTTAAATTCATGTTAAACTTTGTTTACTGTGCTCAAAATATAGATAGATCATAATTAATGTATATAAAATAAGGAGGTGCTGGATTATTTACACAATATTAATATATCTTATCAATTTAACTTTTATCTCTGGTTTGGTCTCCACCTGCTATGATAAATATTCGTTTTTTTACATAATACCGATAGCCTACTTGACTATTTTCACAAGGTACATGTGGCTTGTCTGTGCTTGTTTACTGTAAATCTCTGTTTTATACGATTGATGTATATTATAATACAATCCGTTTTGTTTTGTCCACAAACCTCTCCTTGGATGTTTCACATTCAAAACACACCTGCCCGCCTTCTTAGAGGCTATTTATTTCAATTTGCTGATTAAGTGAAACACACCTCTCATTTACTGTAAACCACAGGGGGACAAAACAATAAGAGCAATTACTGCAGCGTGAACTTATAGCTGGGGCTGGACTAGATTCCCTGATACTTTGCAGGACTGAATGAAAAACATTTTAAGTGCCATGGAGTTCATTCAAGCAGCTGATTGCAGGCCTTTAGACTGCCAGACAAAAATATGCAAACACACTCCGACAATCTAACCATTTTATCATAAAGCAGACGTTAGACAGAAAGCTAGAAATGTCTTCAGCCCGGTGGAATCACAAAGTAATATAATGAACAAATTATACTTTTTCTTACAGCTTGTGTCTGTGGCTTACCAATTGAGCCCTGCTGGAAGAGCTTCACTTGGCTTCTGCCCCTCCTCCCAGAGGCACTGAGTTGGAGTTCATGCCACTGCCAGATTTGTGCATCTAAATAAAACAGAATCTTAAAGCTTACAAGCAAACAAATTGTTCTCCCAAAGGCGAGCCTGCTGTCCCAACTCATCTCCTTCTCCAAACAAAAACAAATTGGCACACGCAGAAACATTGAAATCCACGCATACTAAAAGGTATTTTATGTACGACATAATTTGCTTCTTCTCAAAGATTAAAGATAAAAGGTTAACAACCACATGTGAGGGATCGTATATTTTATAGTGGGAGCAGTCTGAGCCTGCAAGCTACAAATTCTCCTGGCACAGAGGAGTTCCAGACCTATATCAGACGATGAAGCATATTTATAGTTGTTTGCTAGAAGCAGTTGTCTACTCTCCAAAACATGACTTCTTCTCTATTATGCCAAATGTTTTAAAACATATTTTACCAATACTCATGCAATTGTTGTACCAATAATCATGCAAACTGATGGAGATAAAGTGTCAAAAAATAGTTGATTATTAAGCAATTGTTTCATTCATGCTCTTGGCAACAAAGCAATTAAAAGGACTTTGAGAGATTCAGATTGCACGCCATTTTCATCTGAATGAAAGTGGAATTATAATGTCAAGAAGGTAACAAAAGGAAGCATTTCATTTGTCCATAGGGCCTCGAGAAAGCAAACACAACTTCACTTTTTTCTGTGGATTCACGCCATGGTGTCAAATTCATGTAAAGGTTAAAAGTGCTCCATGACGAGCCATAAGTATTTTGACATTTTATGAAACACTAGGAAGGAAATATAAAATTGCAGCTCGGTCGTTTTATATAAGATTAAGTGGAGACACTCTGTATGGACTCTCATTAAGTCCCAAAATAAACACACTTATGCCTCAGTACAGCAATATAAATGTATTTATTTTGTTATAGCTTTGTATACATCATGTTATACCTAGATTCAAGGGAAATGTGACATGTTTTGCTATAAATTAACTAATGAGTTAATTTTTCATGGTCTATAATAATGAAAGTAATCTTATTTAAGATCAAACTATGTATTTTTTTTTATCTCAACCAATGTATCTAAAAGTTGCCTATACTTCAATTATTTTAAGAGTTTTCTTTCAAGGGTGATATTTGCATACATATTTTCCTTTTGGTAACCTTTGACCCATTAAAGGAGAAGAGACTAAATATGCAGTTCAGCTTCACAGGGACTGCAGCTGGTCTCATAACATTTTGATTAGCCTTGGGTTTTAGAGAAGGATTCACCTTGTGTTTAAAATAAGATGGGATGGGAGGGTGGGGGAGAAAAAAGGATCTAAGGCTAAGAAAATCAATGCTTACTCTGGATTCAGGTCTGACTTGGCCCTTTGGAATCCACTGAGGAATATTTTGGTGTCTGCCTTGTGTGTCTGAGTGTTTGACCCCAGGGCTCGTCTGCTCCTCAGGTTGGAAGCAGACTTTTTAAAAGTTCAGTTTGAGCTCCCAGACCTCAGCAATGTCAAAGTAATGTGCATGAATCAAGGTTAAATATAACATAGACAGATAACTTTAGCACCAGATTATGGTGATTTTATTTTTCTGAATCCAATGAATCAAACATTCACAATATCTTTCTCTGGGGAGCCCTAATAAAAAACTATCTTACCCCTTTTATCGCTGAGTTCCATAAAAGGCCATAAGCTTAGTCACATCTTGCCCTGTTAGGCGGTTTTATGAGCCTGATGATTTGTTAACAGCTAATTTCAAGCTGAGGCATAAATGGCTGC